ACCAAAACAAAACGGCGACAGACGTGGACATAATTTTGTTTCTCTCACTTTATTTTTGTCTCGTCACGGCCCGTCTTTGCCACAATCAACAATTTTGTGGCGAGGCGATACATGTGGATGACGGTATTCCCCTCCACCTGTCACCGTGATGAATTACGAACTCCCCCACAGCCACGCCCCGAAAAACAATGCAATTTGCCGTCGACGCCTAATGAAGTTCTCCATGCTTCGGCACATCTTGGCTAAAACGAGTTGGATCTTTGACTTGAATTGGTTTTAGTTTTGTTACTGACGCAGTTTTGGCTGATAGAAAAAATTGGAGAAGTGGATCTTTAGTATCTATTAGTTTGGACATTCTTCGGGTTTCGTGTTGATGCTAATCATTTAAGTGACAGTAGCATATTCGTGTTGCATAACAGGTATCGAAACAATGGAAAATATTTGCATCAATCTGCGGCGTCATCTTTCATTTGTCAGAACAAATACACAATGGTGCATCCTGAGGTTTTGGCCTCCCAAATAAGAAATTATTTATTTATGTTACTGAACAGTTTTCAAGTTAAAACTTTTAGTATTATAAATGTAAAACTTGAGTTTAGGCACTTATTTAGCAACCATTTCAATCGGAAACTAAAGTATTTGAAGAAAGCTGTTTAGTGATCTTCGCACTATTGTACTTTTAAGTCTTCTGGCTCGCATTTACCTTTTAGGCAAATAGCACAAAGTTCTAGGCAGCTGCTTTGAACTCCTCCCGCGAAAAACCAACGACTGCCCTTAACCCCGCAACCCTCTTAGTTGGCATGCAAATCACACACAATTTATGCTAAATTAATTTCATGACTTAGCAATCGCGTCACGTTTATTATTCATCAGCTGTAGGCTTTTGTTATTTTCCAGCCACATTTAAATTTCAGCTTGTTTATTTCATTTCTTTCTCGCGCGTAGAAGCTCTGATTTTTGAATAAAATGCGTTTCTGGCGCCTGTCTGCACTTTCGGTATAAAGGTGCATTTCGCATTTACTTTGGCCGCCCTTTTCCCAATTGTATTCGTTGTTTTCCTCACTCGGGTTTATTTCACTTTTCATTGCCTCTTTAATTGCAATGGTGCGACCCACTTTTTGACCAAGTCTCGGGTCACCATCGCACTCGCACACTGACCGAAAAAAGGTGGTAAAGGGGGGACCCAAAGCAACGCCCGCGTAACACTTTCGATTTTTATTTCCTCATTACATGCTCGGCAAAAAAAAACCAAAATAAAAGCAACCACATCCACAAGATCACAGCAAACCAGAAAGTACAAAAAACAGAAAAATGAAGAGTTTGTATCTTTTTCTTGCAGTTACTACATGTGGAGTCTTTTGTTTTCTCATTACTTTGCAGCCCTTTTTTAACGAGCTCCTTTTGTTGCATTTTTAGCCGTTTTGCAATTGCCACGCATTTAGTTTATTAACCAAATGCGTCGTAAGGTCGGATTCTCTGGATAAAATCTAAGCCTCGAAAGCAATCGACCTCTGGAGCCCCTCACATCGCAGTGGCCAGACATTCGCTCGCTCACGTGGCCAATAAAGTAAAATAACCTGTCGAACTCTTGGCCAAAAGCACTCGAACTGTCGATGGGGCGATCAGTCGGTCAAGTGTTCCGCAAAAGAGCTAAGAGCTCGTTGATTTGCCGATTTTGCACTTAAATTGTTCGCGCTTGTCTGATTTTTGTTTTTGCCCAATTCGCTAGCTGTGTACATTTCTTATATGCCTTTATTTAGTGTTTTTATGGCGATTTGCGGCTCTGTAATCTGATAAGGGTTTATGGAACGATTCAGAAATAAGTTTTAAGTATAATCCAATTGGGGTCACAAGCGCATGTTAAACAGATTGTGCTCAAAGGATTAAGAATTAAAGTTTAGCCACAATTTGATCTTATTGTCAAAACTGTTGAAATGCTTCTGATTTCTAGCTTATCATTTTCGATTATCAAAAAGGTATCTTTGCAGTGTAAGAATAGTAATAACTGGACGAGTACTAAGTTCTAGTACCAGCTTATGAATATTTGGCATTCGCTCCGCCTGGCGTCTCATTTGGCAATATTTCTGGACCGGAGTGTCTAGTTCTCGTCAAGCTTCAGAGTTCCATTTTCCGAGTGTCTCGACTTTTGTTTGAGGTGTTTGGTGTTCATGTGAGTTTGGACCTCGGTTCGAGTGCCCTTAGGTTGTTTCGCAATAATTCAGACCGTCAGCTGTCGGTTGGTGGCTCTGTCTTTTGGTTTTTCAGCTCTGCGGCTTTTCAGTTTTTCAGCCAGCGTCTTTGGCTTAGACGCTTTAATTTGCGGATAATTTTATAGACATTAACATGCAGTTTTTCTCACTTACTTTTCATATTCCTTGGGATTATTTGGTAAGTCACGTTGCATTTTGTCTAATGACTTGACGAATCAACATTTTTTACAATCGGTTACTTTTGTTATTTGTTATTTGCATTCGATTCTTTTGTGGCCCAGAAAAATCCCCATTTGAATGGTCTTTCGACTCGCAATGAGTTGCTGAATTCTAAATCGGTATCTGTGGCTATGGCGACTTTTGGTTCTTTGTCAAATCTTTCAGTTAAACCAGTTTGCGTTTCCTCTTCTGCATATATATTAGTTAAAACTTATAAATTGTCATCGGGTTACTTAATATTTAAGTATTCATGCCTCCAGCCTGCGCGGTTTTCGAGTGGAATTCTAAATGCGAATTGGATGTCGTATTCCCCTCGTCTTGTGTTTGTTTCTCCAACATTTCCTCTTCTTTTTGGGTGGGGCCTTTGAGCTTTTTTCTAAAGTTTACCTTGTTTCGAAATACAAACACGAAATAGTGTGGGACTTTGGCTGCCGCTAAATTGAAGTATTTTCGAAAGAGCCCAAACCTCGGGGAGCTCAAACACTGGAAGGGCTGTCATTAAAGGCAGCGCCTCTAAACACAAATCATAGTTATGAGCAGTAAATTACAGCCAAATGCTCGGCAATTAACTGAAAGTGCGCTAACGGATAATTACACGGCGCAACTACCTAAACACTCTGATAAGAGATTTTAGCCCTGATTGAGGTCTCAATCGCCCAGACTCAGACTGTTTATATTCATATTCCGATATGGAGGCGTTCATGAGGCAGTTCATTAGGCAGTCATTATTGATTCGGAGATTTTTCGATGGCGCGGTCGCATTTAATGAAGCGGCAGCTTCATTGGCAGCGAAATTCTTCGCTGCGCTGATTGATCTCAGCATTGCAAGGCACTTTCCGGGTGGCACTTAATGGGTTAAACATTGGAACAATTAATTAACCCCCTCATCTGTTTATCCGCAGCCAAACGCGATGAGTTCGGTACACAGTACACGGGTGGTGATCGTGACAGGTGTGAGAAGGTGTTTCGGGGCAAAACCGATCGAGGAGCCTTAGAAGCAATTAACTGTGCGGAATTTTTGGGGATTTTTTCAAAGCCTCCCTCGGTTATTTTCGCACTTCACTCGAAGCAATTTTCTTTGCATGTTTTTTCATTCGTTTACGCTCAACCGGCAACGCCGAGATGTCAGCTGAGTGATGAAAAAAGTGAAAAATACAAAAGTGCACATAAATTAAAACGTCAACAGAAGAACAAACAAACGAGCTACGCGCACTTTGTCAACGATTATTATTACTTTAACAGGCAATCAGGCAGACATACACACTTTTGTAATTTGTTGGGATGGACGGCGGATTGCTGGCAACTGCTGAATAGAGGACTTCTTCCCCTCAGCCTCCTCCTTTACTTAATATTTTTATTTCTTATTTTGGCTTGCGCATGCGCGACGACCGGCCACGTTTTGAATGCTTCAATTCGGCGTATTTCTCGTTTCGACTGGCGGCTGCGACTGCGACTGCGCGAGTCAACGAACGAACTCGTAGTGAGTTACCAATTTTTCAGGTGGGAGCCAAAACCGGCAACTCGAGACTCGCCAGCCGATCGACCACGATCGACTATATGGGTTTAGCTTCGGTTGTAGTTCGCTCGCCTTGAGACGGTGCACATATTGCATGCGATAAACGCGACGATTTGATTTGATTTTCGCTTAATTTAGGTTTCGCTGGCACGACTCTGGTACGCGACATTTCCTCAGATTTCATTTCCCCATTAATCTCGCGTTCTTGGTCAATTACAAAACAATTAAAGCAGCAAAACGCAGTTAATTGTGCCTGCAGCAGGGAAACTCGAACCCGAACTCGAACCGAAATCGCAGGCATTTTTCGCAAAATGCAGAAGTAATCAGCCGGCGGTGCACTCAAAATGATAATTGCTGTCATGACAAACGCAAAAATAAAGTTTAAATAATAATAATTTCACTAGCTGCAGTTGCAGCATTCGCAGGATATCGCTGCAAATGGGCTGCGACGAGGGGCGGCAACATTAAGAAACCATTAGCACCAGTCCTGCTGGCAACTGTCAAAAGGCAGCAGCACACTGCAAAAAACTATTCCCCAGTGGTCCAATTAATTAGTAACCCAGTGTTTGAGCTCTATAGACATTGGCTGGAGATCAACATTTTGTTAGCTAAATATGCTGCTAGTAAAATTCAAGATTTCCCTTTATATACATTTAACTGAAGCCGGCAAGTATTTCTTTGAGTGCAGCAGTAGCTGTTTCAGCCCATCAGCGGCAGTTCGAGTAACAGCTGTGGCAGATGAGTGGGCGCTGCACTGAAGGGTCAATGCAGTCACAGTTTCGATCACAGTTCGCAGTCACTGCATCAGCGGCATCATTTTTCAAGTGGCGCACTCGACGGCAGTGGCAACAAAAAGCAGGGGCGGTGGCTGAGGGGCAGCTTCAGGGGGCGCCGGAGTTTGAGGGCCGCCTCTTCTGGGCCTCCGCAAATGTGCCCATTCATTAGGGTTTAATAAATAATTTGTTCCTCCTTTGCGGAGTTCCTTTTTTGTGCTGTTTTGTTTGAGGAGTAGTACAGTTGGCGAGACTTTGACAAGCATCTTCCACACAGGCCACCCCCTTTCTCGGTCAGCAGGGGTTGACGTTCCACAGCAGCTGGCTTTGGCTTTGTGTGTCAAGTGGCGCTGCACAAACAACCGACTGGGGCACTGGAGGGCTAAGGACTGGCAGTAAGTTCCGGGATAATGTGCTAACCTCCGGGTGGATGGACAAATATAAAAGTAGCTGGTTAACAGGTATACATTTAATAATCGCCTCTTTCGGGGCAAAGAAATAATGTCCATATACAATTTATATATTACTTATTATATATTACTTTCTAGTGATCCACAGATCCACCCAGCAGTTCTGGCTTACTTCTATTTCCTTTTTGGGAATAATTATGCACAAATAGATGGGTCTATTATAAGTATTTCAATGTGTTTAAATAAAGTTTGTCTATAAAAAATCGCACCGCTATGCTTTCGGCTTTATTGTAAGCCAAATTATGTAAAGCGAGGTATTTTTTTGTAATTATATGAATAATTAAAGCCGATATGGCCTACCATTTATTTTGCCATTATCTTGCCATTATTTCAGCAATTATGTAAAATGATATTGTACAACTCCAGTGACCATACAGTTGAGCCACTGTGGGCTCTTAGAAAATCCTCTTGTCCAATTTGTGGGCACATTATAAACTGTTAGTTAAGTACGAAATAGAAAAAAATACTGGCAAATAACTTTGACAAGGTCGTGTGTCTGCTGGCTTTGATTTTCCAATGCGTTTCGCACTGTTTTTTCAACGTATTTGTTGTGCGTTAATTGCTGTTTGAGTTTGAGTTTGCGTTTGGATTTGGTTTTTCGGTCTGGCCGAAATGACTGGGCCAAGTGTTAATTGCACATGTTGTCTAGTGGGTTTCCTTGGCAGGGCCTGTCTTTATCTAGTTCAAATATAGCTAATTATGGGTTTAATAGGCCAATGAATGGCCCAAAACCTTTGGCGGGACTACGTGACGGATGCGTGATGTTCGTGCAGAGCGCACAAGAAGAAAATCGCATGATAGAAATCTCTGGCGCTCTGCGACTCTTCGGGCTTCAGAGTCTTCTCTTTGCTCTTTCCAATCGCCCAAGCGACTCTCATTGCCATGTAAAAGTTGAATGAATTGAATAATATCGGACCTGAAGTTCGGGTTCAAGATTGTTTATTTCGGCAGCTGTCCATGGAGACGTGGGCCGGTTATTGAATGCTTTCGGTTTCATTGGCTAGAGCGACCCGGCTTCAAGGTCGTCGAGCAAGTTCTTCGCCCGATGCTCTTGCAGTTGGAATCTCTAGATTTGATACGATACTGCGGACTAGGGTAGTGGTCCTCGACTATGGTTGGTTTATGACCGTGTGGCTTAATTAAGATATCTTATTTCTACAACAATATAAATTAGCTTTATTGCTTGCTACATTTTGCGTGCCTAGCAATTAATATTACACTGCTAACCATTAGCTATAGGATATATCTTCCCGCATATTTATTGCTTCTGGTTTTCCATGTACAGACCCGTGCTTGTACATCATGCGTTTTGCCAATCGACTGCAGTTGGGCGCCAAAACGCACGAGGTTTCCATGACGGCTCTGAGAATTGTGCAGCGCATGAAGAAGGACTGCATGCACTCGGGACGACGACCCACTGGCCTTTGTGGAGCAGGTGAGTGAACCGAGGAATCGAAATGAGTAGACGCGGCTAAAGGGGTTTACTTTCGACCTTAAGCTTTGCTGATTGCGGCGCGGATGCACGATTTCAGTCGCACCATGCTGGACGTGATCGGTGTGGTCAAGATCCACGAGTCAACGCTCCGGAAGCGCCTTTCGGAGTTTGCGGAGACGCCCTCGGGAGGGCTCACCCTGGAGGAGTTCATGACCGTTGACCTGGAGCGCGAGCAGGATCCGCCTTCCTTTAAGGCAGCGCGCAAAAAGGATCGCGAGAGGATCAAGGACGTAAGTATAAGTCTTTGTAATGTGTGTAAAAACTAATTGTAAAATCATCCCAGATGGGCGAGCATGAGCTAACAGAGTTGCAAAAAGAGATTGATGCTCATCTGGAAAAAGACCTGGGAAAGTACTCAAACTCAGTTTACCGTCAGCTGACTAAGGGTAAGGGATGCACTCCACTGAGCTCGCCAGGCACGCCCAAGAGCACCTCGGAAAAGGATATCGAAATGGAGGAGTCCAGGCAGTTCATTGAACAGTCTAATGCGGAGGTCATCAAGGAACTGATAGCCAAGAACGAGGACGTAAAGAAGGCTGAACCAGGTGGTTTGGTGGCTGGGATTGAAGGCCTTCGACCGGACATCGAGGCTATTTGTAGGGTGACCCAGAGCGATCTGGAGGACGTGGAAAAGGCTAAGCAGCCCCAGGAACAAGAACTCATCACCGATGATCTGAACGACGACGAACTGGATCAGTACGTCCTCACTGAGGATGAGGCGTTGGCAAAGTTCGAGATGTGGAAGAACCTCAATGCCGAGTATCTGCAAGAGCAGAAGGAGCGCGAAGAGCGGCTGGCCAAGGAACGCGAGGAGGGAAAGCCGGAGCGGAAGAAGCGTAAGCCACGCAAGAAGGTCATTGGTCCCTCGTCCACAGCCGGCGAGGCCATCGAAAAGATGCTGCAAGAGAAGAAGATCTCCAGTAAGATCAACTACGAGATTCTCAAGACCCTGACTGACGGCATTGGCGGGCTGACGGATGACTCGCCTACAACCAGTGCAGATACCAAACCGAGCACTCTGGAAGAGCTGAAGCAGCAGCCGGTCATAGTGGAGGAAGGCCCTCTTCCTTCCAAGAGCAGGGCCAATAGGGCAGCCTACGATCTGCCCGGACCCAGTAGGAAACGTCCTAAACTAGAGGTGGGTCTGCCAGTCAGCCAAGCTGCCGATGTGGAGCAGCCGGACTCCAAGCCAGCCGTTGTGGTGGAAACAGGTGGGTCATGCCGAGTAAACAGCGTGTGTTGCCAGCAAATAAATCTGTACATTACCTTTCCAGATGACCTGGACGAAGATGCTGAGGCGGAAGCTGAAGCCGAGGATCCTGATGTCGAGCCCGAGGCAGAACCGGAGGCCACTCTGCAAGACATGCTCAACACGGGCGGGGACGACGATGAGTTCGGCTATGGGTTTGACGAGGAGGAGGAGTACTAGGCATAAGCACGCATTTAGCGTTTAAAGCATTTTAGCATACACTCAGATTCTATAGTAGCCGACCTACTCGTAATACAATTAAACTAAGCATTAAGGGCCGTGCACTTGTTGCCGCCGCGCTATTTCCTGGGCTCCTTAGCCGTGGAGGCCATTAAATCATGGCCTCCTCATCGCAGCCATTTACATGTTTAAGCCATGTCGGCGCAAGGAGGCGCTGAGCCGGTACTCCCGAGCACTCCCGGCTGGTACTCGTAGCTAGCTTCTAATTGTTGGCGCTACCGTGGCGCGCCTCCAAGTGCTGCAAATAAATATTTCACTCTTAATCATGTTTTGCACTCTGTTTTGCTTGCCTTTCTCCGGCGCTGCAGGCGGCCAGACCAGTTCAGCTCAGCTCCGTTCAGTTCTATTCAGTTGGGTTCAGTTGTTGGCCCGGCCAGGAACTTGGCCCGGCTCCACGGCCGTTGCGTTGAGTGGCAAGTGCCCGGCAATGAGCTGTTGAGTCTGCCGGGCACTTGTCTCTACGATTTTATAGTTATTATGTTGTAATTAGTGTTAATTTACTTGCCTACGGTTCAGCAAGTCAGCATCAGTGCTCCCATAAAGTATAGCATAGTTCGGGGCAGTTTCTCGGGGCTCGTTTACGAGTTTCCAATTGCGAACGTTTTCCGTTCTGAACAAATTAGCAAACTGTATTGTTTCCAGCTTAGATTTAGTTCATGACTAGTGGTAGAATCACACTTATGTATGTAAAGTAAACTACAAACTCTGATTTTTATACTACCTTTTGCATTTTATATACACACAAATAAATATTATTAATAAATACATGTTCTAGGCCCTCCTTTGCTTCTCTTCCTCCAATTGAGAGCTGCATTTTGAATAGCATAGTTAACTTTCGCTTTAAAATTTTCCCTCATTCCAACTAATGTTTCAGCAACTTTTCTGTTTCCAGAACATGTAATTCATTTCACTTTTCAACAAATTTATGCCGGAAGTAAAGTTGAGAACGGCCAGAACAGCCAGCTCTCCCCGCTTTCAAATGGCTGCCGAAGCAGGCTGAAGTTAACTGCACTTAATGCCCGTTCGCTAATTTGCATAAGCCCGCAGCCGGGCCCAAAGGATAATTATTAATAAAATGCACACGAACCGCTCGAGAGTCGAGTCCTGATGGGGCGTGGTCCTGGCCATTTCCCGGACAGGCTTAGCCGGCCAAGTTGCAACGATAATGTGAAATGTATGCACATGTAAATCCCAGAGCAAATGTGACAGTAAAATGGCAATTAGTAGACATCTTGACTTGGCCAGCCACTTGGAAGTTTCCTGGTCAGTGCGACTAATTTATGCGCAGCCAGCTGGGAACAGCCCGTTGTGCACTGGGGCTCGGTGGAGCTCCTCCTTCCCTGACTGCCTCCTGATGTGGATAATCGCCCGATTGAGCACATTAATCCCTGATATCATTTTTGCGCTTTCATGCGCGCTTTCTCCTGGGCTCTTGATGGCTGGGCTTTCCTAAATACACATGAAATATAAGTATTATTCTATTTTATTACATCACCATGTATGAAAAGAAGCAATTTTATTACAGGCACATTAACCTGGACTGGAAAGAGACCAAATTAGAGTATTGCATCGTATTAGTGTAAATCTCGTATTTTAGCCAAAAATACGCATGGCAATAATTTGCTTCAAACGCTGCGTCGCCTGTCACTTGCGGAATATTAATTAAAGAAAGTTATTTGCCGCTAGAGCTCGATATAAAATATATGGGATATATTGAACTCACGCTGGCCGTATATTTTAATGCAGTTTAATTAAAAATGTGCCAAGCTGAGGTTATTCCACAGATCTGGCGGATTTTGTTGGTTGCGCTTTTTTATCTGTTGATTTACTTTTTTCCGCCGCTGTCGCTCGCCTTCGCTCTCAATAAAAATTTTATCATTTACACTTTATTTGCGGATTTGGCTGCTTTATTATTAAATACAGCCGCCACAGGCTGCCATGGTCGGCGGACTTCTGGCGACGCTGGAGACCATTTTGAAAAGTATTTAATAAGTGGAAACAAATAAAGCGGCGGCGGCAAATACCGAAAATGCGAAAATAATGCGTTTAATTAAAATAAGTTGTGTGGGTGCCTGTTGAATACTGGCCTTCGCTGGCCAGGCGAAGGGGCCACACATCCATGTATAATTGAGTAAATGAGTGAGCAAAGCGTTTAATACGCTTAAAGTGCGCTGCATTAAGTATACGCAGTGGATGACCCGCGCCAGCAGGACTAATTTCTGGC